AGGCCAATTGGCCAAATTTCATTGAATAATATTTTGGTTTATAGTATAAGTTTTTGTCATCTAACTTATCAACATCTTGATTTGCAATCGTAAACTTAGTGCCCTAAACACTTTCGATCCACAACAATGACATCTAGCTAGAAGTTTCCCATAACTAGTATACTAGTTTATGCCATCAATTAGGTTATTATTTGAAATTTAATAATGCATAGGGAAGTATTAATGCTTGATGTGACTAACTAAGATACAACACTCACAACATTCTCTTTCAAGCTAAAAGGCAAAACAATCTACACCACTTTTAAATGTAATATTAATAGGTTGGTCTTTGTTGGTGACTAATTAGACTGTATAAGCATAGTAGTCTATCATTTTATATTTTTTTAATATTAGTTGGTATTTGAAATTTATTGAGCAAATTAATCTTGATTCGTGTTAGAAAAGGCCATTATAATATTAGTCGGTAATTGAAGTTTATTGAGCAAGCTAATCTTGATTTGTATTAGGAAAAAAGCTGATAATTAAGAACAAAAAGTACTTTCTTTTATTTTATTTTTTTTAAATTTCGAAACTCAAAATATTTAATTAAGAATAAAGAGGTCTCGTTCCACTCAGCTAATGCCTATCATTATACTAAAGAGTAACTCATAGATTTATTTTACTTTTAATCAATTGGTCAATTGATAGTTATTTCCTTTGTGCCAATTTATAGGATAGACTTTTATATCTAGTAAGTTTAAAAAGAATGATAGATCTTCTTTATAAATATTTAATTAGTATAATAAAAATAATTTTTAGCAGTAATAAATATTGATATTAATAAAAAATGTTAATATTTTTATCGATATCAATTAAGTGTCATCAGAATCAAAGCTACTGAAGATTTTAGGATAACATATACAAAGAGTAATAATTACCATTTAAAATGCATAATTAATAAAAATTAAAATATTATCATTAATTAATTTTTAGTAATGATCATTTTTAATATAGTGAATGACATTATTAACATTTTACTCATGTTAGGTAGGTTTTACTTATTTGCCAAAAAATACACAAAAATATACTCTTTTCACAAGGATAACTCGAAACACTAAAAAGTAGATCTTCTGATATTTCATAAATTTTTATTGGGAAACTTTCACATATAACAAACACAAATTATACTAACATGATTTTTAAATTTGAAATACACCTTCAAGTTAAAAAGTTGTATTTCAAATTTTCATGATCAAACATTAATTTTTCAAATAAAGTAGAAAAATAAGTTTTAGATTAATTTTAAAAGTAGAAGATAAAATGATTTTAGGTGAAATTTTTTAAAGTACTATAAATAAAAAATTAGAGAAAAGAAATAGAAATAATTTTAATGGTCAATTTTTATGACATAAATGACAATTTGAAGAATTAACTTGAACTTTTGTATGATCTAATGATAAAATATTTTTTTTAAAAGTCGATTAAAACAAATAGGTAAACAATTATTTTCATATGTACAAAATGAGAGAGTAATTAAATCGATTTCAAAATAAATTTAAGAAAAAAAAAGAAAATGACAAAAAAAGAGAAAAACAAGAAAGAGAAATAGGAGGCAAAAAAAAGTGTAGGTCCCACGAATTCAAATTTAATAATAATAAAGTACTTTCTCATACAACTAGTGTAAGTTGCACCTCGTTCATAATAAAAAATTTCACAATTCACATAATAGATTAGGGTAAAGGAATAACTTAATTATACTTCATAGCTATAGCTTGCTACTTACGATTCAAAGATACATGTTATAGGGGAGAAAAGTGGCGAGCAAGATTAGGAAAGGGAGGAGAGAAGCGAGCGAGAGAGGGAAGAGAGTGAAGAGATGTGAGTTTTATATGTATATCGTTTGGATAATAATATATATGTAACTACTAGATATATGTATCAATGATTAAATCTGTATATTTGCATACAATTTGAATTCATATACAATTAAATCAAGTTAATATTTGTATTTGTATACATCCAATCTCTTTCTCTCGCTTTATACAAACAAAAATTATAAATTGTATTGGTATAATCTGTGTTTGTATATATAAAGCGAGCAAGAAAAAGACAAAAGAGAATTGAGCAGAGGAAGATTTGTAATTGCATAGTTATAAATGTATAGGACGGAGATATATGTATATCTAGTCTCTCTCGCTTTAAACATATACAAATGATATATTTGTACGTTTGTATAATTTATGTTTGTATAAAGTGAAAGAGGGTGACAGAAGAGAATTGAGAGAGACTAAGCAGGGAGAGGAGAAAGGCAAGAGACAAATGACTGAAAAAGAGGAGAGATGCGAGCGAGATTTCAGAGAGAGACAAGAGAGAGGGAAAGATAGGAGTGTAATTATAGCTAGAAATAAGTTTCAAATTTTTAATTAATGCAAATTATAGCTATGTTAGCTAATTAACTAGTATATATTTGCTTAACCGCATAATTTTTTCTCATAAATAAATGAGGTGGGAGATAGCAAAATTTATTTTTTAAATTTTTTACCTGAGTACCGTTTTCAATTTTCTCATGTTCAATTGACTTAATTTCAAATCAACTTATTTTTCTCAAATTTAAGAACGATGGTTTTCCTTAAAAAAAAAAGGAAATCAAAGATCCATTTTATGTAACGACCGACTTGGTGTGATCATGTCGTGACCTTAATATTTTCTTCTCGTTTTGTTTTTATTTATTATTTAATAATTATATTTCATCTTTTAACTTACCTTTTCATAGTAGTTTTACCTCATATTAGGGGCGGAGCTACGGTGTCTCCAGGGTGTCCAGCTTGTCACGCCCCGAGCATACACCTTGGACATGACCAACACTCAAGAACCATTGTTGGTCCCCAAACAAACACTTGTTCTAATTGACCACTAAGCGAAAGACTAGCTCAAGCATAAACAAACATCAAAACTAAAGAATTTTAAAAAAGCAATTTATCAAATATCAAAGCTATTTGAAAATACTGAGTATTAAACATAACATTTTAAATAAAAAAATAATTAAATTGAACACCGTAAGACTGATCAAGATTATCAATTTATAAAGCCTCTACTATATAAAGATAGTTGTCGGAATAAGACTCACGACACCTCAAATTACTACTATTAACAAATGATAAAATTGGAGTCCTCTGAAAGCAATAAGGCCTCATCTAAAGGTGACGAGCGGATGATCATGTGATTTCAACGGAACTGTAGTTGATGTACCTAAGTATATAAATCTGCATCATGAAACGATAATTATCGAATGACATCAGTGCATTGAATCTATGAGTATGTAATAGGCCTAAATAAAACAAATAGCTAAATGGAAAGACTGAAAATAACTCAACTAAAATATAACATAAATCGTAATGAAAATCATTCAAACTCTTTCGGTAAGAATGCAATAACGGTAACACACACACTTTACTTTATTTTGCCAAGGAATTTCTCTAACCGACTACCATCATTATAACGACTTGTCTATGCTGCCAGAACTGTTTTATACTTTGAGTATTAGACAAAAATAACTCATGAATCCACGATAAAGGTATGCTCAAAGATATCTCTCTCTCTCACACATACACTTTTTACTTTACTTTGCTAAAGAATTTCTCTAATCGTCAACAATTATTATGAGTCTCGAAATGATATAACAACTTGATTATGCTAACAGAACCATCTTGTACCTTGTCAGAGTATAAAATAAATTCAACTAATGGATCCACTATAAAGGTCTGCTCAAAAACAGTAACGAATCACCCGAAAGACAGTGCGATTCTAACCCGTGTTGACTATGTAGTTTATGTGATATATTTCATTTTTTTCTCATATTGATACTTAATACTATTCTTAAATCTTAAAATATATAACTCAATGCTCAAATAAAAATACTCTCTTTTGATTGAGATAAGTTCTGAAAAGAAACTTATACTTTTCTGAAAATAATGTTCTCAATCTGCATATAAAAATGATACATTTTGTAATCATTTAGTTCCCTTAAACTCTACAAAAAAATTTTACTTTATACTTTATTCTTAAACTCACCTTTAACTTCTCAAATCAATTTAAGAAAAAATATTTAATAAAAAAATTTTCAACAAAAAACTCAGTTGATGCGGTTCATGTGAAAATATAAACATGAAACTTTGACAGACCATTCTGCTCGCTCGTAGGAAGCTTACCTGAAGTGTGCTTCAGGACTAGGTTTGCACGATGCCATTTTACGGACCGTAGCAACTTCTAGAACTCGTAATCTGGTCTGTGAAACTTAGACTTGAGAATCAACTTTCAAGGGCCTAGTTCCACGAACCGGTCTGCAGTCCATAGATATTTCTACAAGTAGTAGAAAGCTTCAGTGACACCATACGATATAAATTTTGAAGATTAGATTTTGTATTAAAATTTTTAGGGTGTTACCGAGCTGGACAACATTCATTAAAAAATTACATTTTATATATAATATAATCCGGATTTTATTGTAGTATATAGTATTTTGGACATCCTCTAAAAAACGGAAGAACTCGTAGAGCAGTGGCTAAAGCTCTCACTAATCCATGTGGTGTCGGAGTTTGACTCTTGACATATGCATTTTTTTAAATGGTGTAAAATTTATACAACAGTGCAATGGTTTTGTGGTAAATAGTATCAAATTTGTGTCCGTCAATTATTTTTATATGATTTCGTATTTTACTTTTAATTAAGTTTTAATTTCGATATTAATTTTTTTAAAATTAAAATAGTATAAAACATCATAGAATGTGATGTTCATTCCTTTTATAAGTAAATATAAATAAAGTTTCTTCATCTATAATTATCAGAGTCATTTATCCAATTTATATCACAATATTATTGATGACAATAATTCTCTCACTATTTTTCATCTCTCTTTTATTAAAAAGAAAGAAATTACTAATTACATATTAATTTAATAATTAATTTTAATTAGAAGAGATAAGCATGGATTAGCTTTGTTTCCACATAATCCCACATTAATTTTAATTAGAATAGATAAGCATGGTGATTGGTGAGACGAGATAAAAAGTCCAATTCTTTTTCCGATCGCCACCGACCAAGTTTTGTTAATTTCCGCCCAAACAAATTCTGAAGATTGAATGAAATGTTAGCTTCTAAAGTCACGAAGAAAACATTAAGATGGAGATTCAGAACGAGACCTTTAACTTTTGAGGAGCAATTTGATTTGATAGCAAGTGGATTTAGTACTTCCTTTTCTGGTGCGAAGAGTTTCGGAGCAGACAACACTTCGTCTCAAATCAATTTGAGGTATTCAGTGAAGAAATTTCTTTTTTTTTCATGTGTTTTAGTGATTTTGTTTATCTTTTGGTTATGTTGATTGCGGTAGTTTTTGATGAATTGCTGATAACCTAATGGAGCTTTTGATCATGAAAAATTGGAGTATTTGAAAAATGTAGTGTTTGTTTTTGTTTTCAAATGGAAAAGTTATATTTGAAAATTGTATTCAGTTGTTTTTGGTCACGAGTACACATTTTGGAGTTGTTTTTGAATCTTTGTGAGTAATATGGAGATCGCTGTATCCTGAATTTGTTTCCTTTCCATAATTTTAGATAATCGTTATTTTGAAATTTATCTCAACCACCAAGAGAATAAAGCAATATCATTCAAGTGCAATCTATGTAGTTTATTACTTATTAGTGTTGGAATCATAGTGACTAAAAGAAGCAATCAAATTAATCATGCCAACTATCTGTCAACACCATGGGAGAGATTTTCTATTTTTTTTAATGCATAATGATCAATAAGGAAAGAGCTGATCTTCACAATGAACTCGTTTTCCAAAATAAATCTTGAGTAAGTGGTGTCAGTGGTCTTGCAAGGCTGCTTAAGCCTTTTATTTTGGTTATCAAGAAAAAGAAAATAGTAGTTGTAAGTGAATTACTGCAGTTTGATCAGTAGATTGGCAACCAAAACCTTTTTCATTTACAGATCTTGGAAAGTTTTATGCTACTATTATGTACACCTCTTTCAAATTGAGTCACTTTGGTAATGGTTTCCAGCAGTTACTTTCAATTAGGTGATTTGGAGAAAAGTCAGTGTGTTCTTTAAAGCTACTGTGCAAGGTTTTAAGTACTATGAGCTTCTTCTCGATTAGTTTCACTGGCATGCAATGATTTTTGACAAGTAACTTTTCGTATTCCACCTTTTCTTGATTGTAAAATAACTATTTGCTTGCAGCAAGGATACTGAAGGAGGAGCATTCCAATTGCGTAGACAAATGAGAAGAGATTCTTCATGTAATCCTTTATTTAATCAAGATGATAGGGTGGTTAGAACAAGCATTGGATCTTTTCCTTTGTCAAATCGTTATTATAGAAGCCATGGACATTTAAAAGATATCAAAGACAAGGTATCTACTTTTCGTCAGTCTTTGTGGATCTTGCTGATATTTTATGTTGTGTGCTATACTTTTTTTGATATCTAATATTGGTGACCTAACTTGTGTAAGGATTAAGACATATGCTAACTTCCTGAAGGCATCAGCTCTAATTCCTTCATTTTTTCTCTTTATAATTTTGGCACCATATAATTAATTGTGCAGTTCTTAGGATCTGTCCCTGAAGTTGTCAAGATAGTAGAAGTTGGCCCAAGAGATGGACTGCAAAATGAGAAGACTATAATACCTACAGAAGTGAAGGTGGAGCTTATTAGATTACTTGTTTCTAGTGGACTACCAGTTGTTGAGGCTACCAGTTTTGTGTCTCCAAAGTGGGTACCACAGGTATATATTTTGCTTGTTAGGGATTTTATGCTTAGATGTCTTGCATTTGTCATCCTTATACTTCTTCTGCAAAATGTGCTTTTCATTGCTAAGTTTTTCTTTTCCAACTGTGTGAAACTAGAATAATTTTTGTTTCAGTTCTTCTTTTAGTTGTTAGTTTGTCATCTTAAAGCATGAGTATGAGTTTTTTCTTATTATCATTAGTTACTCACCCTTTAGGACTCTTACTAACTACTAAGGCCCTTAAAGATTATTACTTTTGTATTTTGTATATTTTGCAAGATCAATTTGACCGTGAAAAACATTGTTTAATGCCCCTTGAATGCTTTGTTATTCATTTTGGATGTTTGAGGAGAAAACGTCTGGTTTCTCAAAGATCTGGTTTCCTCAGGTAGAGATATATGGAAATGTTTCCAGTTTCTAGGTTCAAGTGCTTGATTCTATCTAGCTTTTTTGATTTACAATGATGATTTAAAAATGGCAAATGCTCAAATGAGTAGTGTATCTCTGGTAGCCATGTATCAAGTCATGCTTTGTGTTTCATCAAGTTCATACTTCTATGTCATGAAAAGGATGTCCATTCTGCTCGACATCTGCAGGTCATGTCAACTTCATTAAAGAATTGCACAGTGAGTGCAATCATAAGTAGTATGAACCTAACAATATGTTTCTTAGTACTGCGCTAACTACATCTAAAATAAATTAAGGAATTAGCTATTCGGTCGACTTCTTGTTCATTTTCATTTTTACACCAATAAGTTAAGAGAGTTAAACATCAATGCCTTAGGTTATATATTTTCCTTTTTGCCTTCAAAGTATCTTCCATTTCTCTCCTTCCACACAGTCTACCATGTAGCCGTCGGTGTGGTGTTTCACAATATTTTGTCGCCTTTTGTAGTTCTCTTCCATTCCAACAAAGTAGCAGGTCTTTATGAGATTATGGTATGCACCATTTAACTTCAAGCAAATTCAAAGCATGCACTGTATCTGATTTGGTATTCTATTGTGGATGAATAAGCACTTCACGTCTTCATAATCTTCTTCATTATTATGAGCCTATAATCTTCAACTTCTGTCTATATGCAAGCTATAAGAATTATAACCTCTTGTGTTAGTTTATTGAGATTTATGGCTATACTTCTTGGTGATTTAATGATGTGACTGGCTTTTTCGTGATTATTTTAATCTATGTGCATGAATGTGCTTCTGCTTAGCCCGTGATGAACTATATTACTGCGGCATATCTCTCAAGTAATATCTATTGAATCAGTAGGATTTAAACTACCAAATGCTGTAGTTATTATTTATAGTGTTGGTGATATTGCTTATCTGCCAAAACTTAATTGCAGCTAGCTGATGGGAAGGATGTAATTGAAGCAGTTAGGAATCTTACAGGGGTGCGCTTACCTGTTTTGACACCAAATCTTAAAGTAAGCTGATAGAAATGCAAAGAGTGAGATTTTCCTCTGTATGTCTTGTTAAATATGTATACATTTTTTTGCTTACACGGGAGCCTGGATAATTGGGATCGCTCATAGTTTTTCGTTCGCTCTACTCCAGGGTTTTGACGCAGCTGTTGCAGCTGGAGCCAAGGAAGTGGCAATATTTGCTGCAGCATCCGAGTCCTTTTCTCGGTCTAATATAAATTGTAGCATTGAAGACAGTCTTTCTCGCTATCGTGATGTTGCTCTTGCAGCCAAAAACCATTCCATCCCTGTTCGCGGGTATGAATTCTAGCAGATCTACATATTCTAGGAAGTCAGGTTTTACATTTCCAAATTTACCGGATTAATTATGTAAGGTCTATAAGGAGAGTTAGTTTTAAAACTATGTAGTAGAGACTGAAGGCTTGTTTAATTCCATTAGTCTCTGATGGCATCTTGCAGAACCCAAATGGCTTAACAATTGTTACAATTCTTTCAGCAGAACAGAATGATTGCCTTTTTACATCACATACTCGCTTAAAATTTTTCATACATTGGAGCAAGGTTGTTAAATTTTGCTATAACTTCAGATTGCCTAAGAATCTCTCCGTTCATAACCTTTAAGCATACAGTATTTACTATTGATCACTTCCAGCTTTCCCTTTTTCCATGTTACAAATTTCAAAGATGAGGTTTACAATTGTTCTAGATCTGAAGGCAATCTTTAGTGTTTTCCGGTGGAGTTCTAACTATTGACCATGTTATATTATGGACATTTATCTCTTCTCTTCCTTCCAGGTATTAATGAGGAACTGAAAATTTTGGTAAAAAGAATTTAAATATTGAACTTCATGAGTGCTTGTGTATTACTGTCTAAAGATAACTTTCTTTTGGATGAACTACAAAATGTTCCATTAGCATGTATTGCAATTTTCCTGTGTCCAAGTACCAGGTTATTGACTATGGCCCTTGTTACAAAGTATTCAGAGTATATTAATGTCTTGGGATGTCTATGTTCACAGAACAATCCAGGAGAGATGGCTTTCAAAGGATAGGGGCTGCATATTAGCTCACCAGTTGCTCTGCTAATCTCTTTGATTATATATGAGCTTTTCATGCTTCCTGTCATTCTAATTACCACTATAGTTGATTATTAGAGAAGTACATTCCTGTTACTTGTTTGTATATAATGATGTCAAATCCTTGTATTTTAAGCAGCTAGAAGTAATAAAATTTACTGAATGGAGGTTCCTTTGTGGACATCCATTAAAATTGGAAGGGCAAAGGATTGAGAAAATACTTTTTTTTGGAAAATGATGATTCAACGATTAACATTTGTGTCAAAATTTGTGATTTTTGCTTTTCCTGATTATTTAAGCCCTACCTATGTGTATGAGCTCAAATGGTTCCTTCCTTAGTGGCTAGACTTTGACATGCAAAAGGTTTTGGTTTCTGGTATTAGATATATCTTCAAATCAAGGTAGCTCTGTCAATTCTAGTACCAAACGAGCACTAATAGTAAATCTGTTATTCCTGGTAGTAATGCTTAGAACTTTATTCTTTTGTTGTAGACATTTATTTGGAGAATTAAGGTTGCATTTCTGGAACTGAAAAGTAGCTATCATTATTTTCTATCAGGTATATATCATGTGTCGTTGGCTGTCCCATAGAAGGAGCGGTGTCTCCATCAAAAGTTGCATATGTGGCTAAAGAACTTGTAGATATGGGTTGCTTTGAAATTTCTCTTGGTGATACAATTGGAGTTGGTACTCCAGGTAATCCTGAGTCTTCTCTGGTTTCACCCTTCCCCATTTTGTACCTTTGGTCTGCTAGAAGAATCTGCATCTTTTTGCTCTTTCTGTAAAATACTGGCATGTGCCAGCAAATTACATTTCTTGTCATGAGTTCTGATTCTTAATTTAAGAAGAATTCTGTAGTTCACTCCTTTGACAAGACAAGCTTTTGCTGTATTACTTTCAAGCTACAGGCTACTGAGTCAACATAGACAGCTTAACAACATGTATTTTTCTTTAGAGAAGTGCATTATTGCTATGTTATTAGTTAATCAGTACACCTTTAGCTTGGTTTGTAGAATTGCTGGATTTTAGATTTGATTTCCAATGGTGGACAGTGGTGACTGCTTACAATGTATTAAGTGAGGTTTCAATGTGGTTTTCTTCTGACTTTAAGAGATGAAAAATAAAATAGAAGAAGTCTCTCAGGATGGTGTCAAGTAGGTTTTTAGGGCGATGTTTTTTAGAGGAAAATAATTATCATAAGAAACAGAGTAAGAAAGTAGTGTATATAATCCTTTAAATAATCGAGGCACATCGTTGTCAAGTGTTAACTGTTAAATGATTGTATGGTCATGATAACATTGATAAAGGCATGACAGGAAAGACAATAATGTTCACTTTCTCAATTTTAATTGTTATATTAGAAGACATAGGATATAACCTCAATGACTCTAACTGTACACATATTTGCCCTGCTGATGAACTTCCAGGATTGTGTGGTTATGAGAACCTTGATAAAGGCTTGAAGGAAAGACAATAATGTTCACCTTCTCTTTTTTCATTGTGATATTAGAAGACATAGGATATAACCTCAATGACTCAACTGTATACATGTTTGCCCTGCTGATTAACTTCCAGGTGCATGTCTTCTACACCCCCTTAACTATATAGTTTTGAACTCGATAGCTTTGTAAGGAGATACGTGACTGTAAAGTCTACTCACGATCAGTCTAGTGAAAGTATTGGCCATCTGTTTATCTGTTAATCAACATTGTTATCTATGCAAACTTACTGAAAAATGCAATGGGTATTCATCAATTGATTTTGCTTCAAAATTAAAGAAAGATAGTTACTATATGTCAATTGTTTCTTGAGTTTTTATCTGGAATGGATTTGTTACATCTTCCCTATATTTTCTGTCTCTGCTCTCCATTTATTAGGTACTGTTATTCCAATGCTTGATGCTGTAACTCAAGTTGTCCCTGTAGAGAGGCTTGCTGTTCATTTCCATGATACTTATGGACAAGCTCTTTCGAACATTCTTGTGTCACTGCAAGTAAGATCTCCTTTCTCTGCTTGTATTGAGAAGTTTTTTCACATGTTGGCATATTTTTATCACATTATGAGAAATTTGTTCGTTGTATAGTTGGTGCTGTGCCATCCAAATCTAAGAGGTGTAGCCTGTCTTATTTTTCCATGTTGCAAGTTGGCATGCAAAAAAAAAAACTAAAAAGAGGAAAAACGAAAAATAGCAGAGGTAACTACTATCGAGTACATCAGGGAAAGGTCAGGTAAGCTAGCAATCCATTGTAACATAAAGGTCCGTCAATGCCAAGTGAATGGCGTCAAAGTAAGGCCATCATTAAGTATAAGGCTGCAAATGACATGGACTAACCAGTAGCTGAGTGTGTGATTCTCATGTGACAGCCCCCTTCCCAAGGGAACGCGAACACAAAATTAATTGGATCTAATGCATCAGATGAGATGACTGCCATCTCATCTGCTGCTTGAGACTTTGGTATTTGTGTCTAAACTTTCAGCCTATCATTCACTTAACAACGCATCTTGTGAAAACACAATATCATCTGTGAATAACACACACCACAGCACTTCCCTTTGAATATGTCGTGTCAATTCGTCCATCATTAAGGCAAATAGGATCGGACTAAGGGCTTATCCGTGGTGCATCCCCGTCACGTGCGGGAAGTGTTCCAAGTCACCTCCTACAGTCCTACTGTTCTAATCCTGGTCTTGGCTCCATTGTGCATGTCCTTAATTGCCCCATGTAATTCACAAGGTATACCTCTAGCCTCCAAACATCTCTAGAGGACCTCCGTTAGGACTTCTATCGGACGCTATTTCTAGGTCGATGAACATCATGTGTAAGTCCTTCTTCCTCTCCCTATACTGCTCCAACAATCTCCTTACAAGATGAACGTTTCCGTAGTTGATTGTACCAACATGAATCCGATTGGTTTATGGGTATAGACACACCCCTCCTCATCCTTATTTCAACCACCTTTCCCAAATTTTAATAGTATGGCTTAGTAGTTTGATGCTACCCTTATAGTTGTTCCAATGTTGAACGTCACCCTTGTTGTTGTACAACAACACCATTGTCCACCACCTCCATTCTTCTGCCATTTTTCGTTGTCCTAAAAATGACAGTAGGCAACCCAGTCAACCACTCCATACCTGGTCTGGTCCGGCATTCTTCCCCTCCTCATCTTACGAATAGCCCCTTAACCTCTGCAACCTTTATAAACCTGCTATACCAAAAATCGCTACGACCTACGGAATGCCCTGGCTTCCCCAACACGATACTCTTGTCCCCTTCTTCATTCAAGAGCTTAGGGAAATACGTCTGCCATCTTTGTCTAATGTGTGCTTCTCCTACTAGTACTTATCCGTTCTCTTCCTTGATACACTTCACTTGGTCTATGTCATGGACCGTCCTCTCTCGCCTTGGTGAGCCTATACAACTTCCTGTTCATGCCTTTGCCCTCGACTCTTTATACAAGTGCTCAAAAGTTGTCGCTTTAGCCATTGCGATCGCTAGTTCGCTCCTCCTCCATGGTGCTATATCTTCCTATTCCTCCTCTTATCCTCCTTGTCTAAGCTTTCCACTAACGCCATGTAAGCAGTTTTCTTGGCTTCCGCTTTTCTTTGGACCTCTCCATTACAGCACCAATCCTCTTTATTCCAACCTGGGTTACTCCTCGAGACGTCTAACACCTCTAGTTACTTCTCTTATGCAATCAGCTGTCCTAGCTCACATACTATCTACATCCCTTGCTACTCCCCCAAGCCCCAATAGCCACCATCTTCTCTTCTTTTGGGATTTGGTCTTAGTCAGGCCTCTCCATCTAATCATTGGCTGGTCATATGCAATAATGCAGCCCTCTCTTCTCCTTCTTCCTCTTGATATCTAAATCCATAACCACGAGCTTATGTCGGGCTGTATTATTTGCGCTCAGGATAACCTTACTGTCCTTGCATAAAACCTGATCACTTCCTAAGGAGTAGGTAGTCTATATGAGTCTCGCCACCACACTCCGGTAGGGAGTGTAAACTACATCAATTTGGCCTTTAAAGCTTACCTTAAAATTGTAGATGATCTTGGTTGAAAACCCTTGTTGGAGTGGTGTGCAAGCTCGGGAAAATGAAGAGAAGAAATTGAATCTCAATTTTGGACTTTGCATGGGTTGAAAAAGTCGAGGTGATATGCGTGCAAGCATGCATCATGCATACAAGATATCCTGCATAAAGAAAAAGCCCTTCTGTTATTGTGTGTAAGGATGCACTGGGCGCACAAGACTTCCTGCAAGCAAAAAATATAAAATTTCCCTTCTGTTGTTGCGCGCTATATGTGCAAGTATGCACCACGTGCACAAGGTCTTCCTGCAGACACCCTATTGTAAAAAGATTATTATTTTTGTAGGAATGTACCCAGAAAACAAAACATTGCAGAGTTTTACCAAACAAAAATTTGATCTGATTTGGATGCGTATCTTGTTATTGTATCCAGGTCATTCGGCAAATCACTTAATTGATGGAAATGACATGAACTTATTATGTATTCTTTGGCACTTGGAACCTTAATGCAAAAGAAAATGCTTTAAGTATCATAATGTTAATCTTGACAGATGGGGATCAGCATCGTGGATTCATCTGTATCAGGACTTGGAGGTTGCCCATATGCCAAAGGTGCCTCGGGTAATGTGGCTACGGAGGATGTCATTTACATGCTCAATGGACTAGGAGTGAAGACAAATGTGGATCTGAGAAAGCTTCTATTGGCTGGAGATTTCATCTGCAAACATTTGGGTCGCCCTTCTGGATCTAAGGCTGCCATTGCCTTGAGCAGAACAACAGCTACTGCCTCAAAGCTTTAAGGGACATCTGATGCCGCTGAAATGCGTCCACTCTGTGGTGAAAGTCGCTTCAGACCAACTTTAACTGTAGCATTACTGTCACTCTTACCGTTCCGTCATTGTCTTATGTTAAACATATCCGTGTCAATATGTCCCCTAGCCAGTGTCGGAGCTACATAGACCGAAGGGTAGTCGGTTGAATACTCTTCTTCGGAATATCATTCCGTGTATATAGAAAATAATTTTAGGTTGAATATTTTTCTCTTAGTCGTCGACACTTGACACAGTGCCAGTGTTCTATTGCCTTGGTGCAACTGGATTTTAAACTACATATTTTCAATGTCTTGATAATTATCTGAAATATACTGTTGGAGAGCAGAGAGAAAATGAATGGTGGTAGTTTTTGTCTATGCTGTTCTGAATGTTTAAAAACAGTTACAACTGCAGGTATTTTATTGACTTCACACAGGGTTGTACTGAGGGTAAGTAAGTTGGGTGGGAATTCTGGCTGTATACTTTGTATAATTAATTATGTAAATATTTTTGTTACTTTGTTATGTTATTTTTGTTACTTCCGTGTGCATTTTATGTGATATACTATTACAAACGTGAAGCTTGGATAATCTATAATTAGGAAAAAAAAACGAGACAAATTAATAGAGAGCTACAATTTTTTATGTTTTCAAGTGATAGAAAATTGAATCGGCAAAGTAGAACAAATATATCCACTAAGATCTACTTAGTCGTATTTAAATTAAATTTTTTTTTTTAATCATTTGACTGAATTCAAATCATGCGAGTGTCAACTCTTTAAAAACTTCTTATTTTCTGTCATTTTTCAATTCACATTACACCTTTTATTTTTAAAACTTATTCCTTATAAATTCAACGATAATTTTGATAAGCCTAACTCGAAGGCACAAAGTTCTACATTTAATGTAGTCATGCTAGTCTAACTTACAAAATCTTATATCATTTTTTCTATTTAAATCTTTAAATATTGATCAAATTTTAAATTTTTCTATAATTCGATAAAATCTCTTTTACATCTAAAATTATCTCTAATCACATTATAAACTCCAAAAAAAAGTCATACAATTTAATTGTCCATCTATTCATCAAAACAATATTCATCTCATTGCTCCTTAGTAGATAAAATTATTAAAGAATATTTCTTTTTCGAACTCCTACCACCATCCAAACATACTTTTATACATCTAAAGACTCTGAAAACAAATTATTCTGAAATTATATTTTTTTCTTTTTAGTTTGTCTTAGAAAAACTAATATTTTAATATAATTTTAATTTAAAATTAATTTTTTAAAACGGAAAAAAGATTTAAAGATTCTTATCTACCCTCACATTTACCATATTTTGCTTCTCATAATTATTGGACAATTATATAGTTACTATACTTTCCTTCCTCATAATTAATTAGTAGTAATTATATTAAAACTGGAATGCTAACATACGCCACTAACGTACACCACAATCTACTAAAGTACGCACTTTCCTCTTCCTCTTTTCCACCTGAAATACAAAACCACTACCCCCACCCCCACCCCTACCCATCAATTTTTCTCTATCATGCACCATCACTTCCTTTCTTCCTTCATCACCATGGCTCCTTCTTCTTCCCTCACCAAACCCCTAAAAAAAACCTCAAACTCAAACCCTAATTCAAACCCCACAAATTCCCCAAATTGCCCTTCTTCACACCACAACTTCTGTAATCACTCTCCTTCAGCTACCCTTGATCTTCTAATATTCATTCTTGTACTTTTCTCTGGTGCTTTCCTCATCATTTCCTACTTCTCATACATCTTTAATTCAATTTCTCTTCTTTTCCCATACCCACCATCATTTTTACTCAACACCCTTTTGAACTATCTAGAAGAAGTGGACGTTTGGACCCACTACATCTTTTACATATTCTTCGTTGTTGTTTTCGTTGTCGTCGTGCTTTGCTTTGAGATCTGTTGTGGGTTTGGGTTTAGATCAAGGAAATGTGGCAAAAATGGATGTAAAGGGTTGAGAAGGGCTATGGAATTTGACTTGCAATTGCAGGGTGAAGAGTGTTTGAGATCTGGGTGTGAGACAAAAGCTGTTAGAGAGATCAATCAGTTGCCTTGGAAAGGTGGGAGTGAGAATAATCCAGATTATGAATGTCTTCGTGCTGAGTTGAGAAAAATGGCACCACCCAATGGACGTGCTGTATTGTTGTTTAGGTCTAAATGTGGCTGTCCTGTTGCTAAACTTGAAGGTTGGGGTGCTAAACGAGGGCGTCGGCACAAGAAGTGAGTTGTTTATTTTTTTTATTTTTTTTTTTGCATTTGGAGTTATGGACTTTCTGTTGATTGTGTTTTGGTATTAGTTCTGTTGCTCGAGTTGATGATTATGCATTCTAAGAAGTAGTTCAGTTGTGCTGATAGAACCAGTAATCGTTGCTGAAGTGTAGAAACTGCTCTCATAATGATTAAATAAAAAAATGCTACTTTGTTTTGGATTTGATTTGAAGGATATGAGATAGAGAAGATGATGTGATGAGGTAGAAAGAGTTGTTTTAGAGATGAGTAGTTTATGAATTGGGATGATGATACTCACACTTTTTAGGGCTTCATTGGGTCTGGCAGGTTACTATAGGTCAAATGACATCCAACTATAGTCAGCACCAAAAGTAAATAATTATCTATGAGTTTGTTGAACTGATTCTATCCATTAATAAGTGATCATAATGTTACTAATCGACACAATAGCTATGATTTGTCATAAAGACCAGTCAATAAACTAGGCCTCAAGTCAAACTAGTTGGAACTTACTTATGAATCTCTGTATCCATCATGTAAAAGACAGATGAAGGGTTCTCTAAATCATACACTTATTTCATATGCTAACGTTATACACTTCTAACTAGATTAAGAAGCGGTTGGTAGTCACTAGACCTAGACACGTGTGGCAACAAGGAATGATTTCCCAATTCCAACTTATTTGTATCACCTAAAGGATGCCTTCGCTCCTATTTTGCTTGGTTCTTAAGTAAGTCCGCAACGATTCCAGGATAGTTGGTGATTTGACAAGTTTTATTCGTGTGACTTTTAGATTTATCTAGGCCCTTTTTTATGTTGAACCTACAAAAAGTGCAAATCAAGGTTTACCTAGGACATTGCTAACATGTCATGCAATCTCCTCTTGTCGTATCCTCTACTAGTTGCACCCTTTGTTAGATCTCTTCATATGTATTTTTTTATTAGTATGAAATACTCATGCACATTGTAGTATTATGTACAACAAAATGAACTCTGTCCTTCCTCTTAAAATGATAGAATGGATCAAATCTTTTACTTCTAATATTGTCGATCATTTATGACTACATATCCATCTTATGCTTATATAATTCATCTTGCAAATATGATGGACTTTAGGGGACCCAACGTTATTTCTCGTATAACTTTGTCGTTGTCCCAATTATTCTATTAAAGTCATCGATCAAAAAAATTATTCTGTAGAACATGTCTTTCACATTGTTATAAATCTTCCTATCACATAGCATTGTTGTAGTACTCCTCCATTTCCTCCACCTATTTCAAATGTTTGTGTTACATCTTCATCTATGATTTCCCACTTTGTCGGACTAAATTGAGTATGTTGTTGTTGTTGTCTTCGTATATAACTTTTTTAAAGAAAATATCATCTCCATCTATCATGTCAATTCTTAAAGGAGTCTAAATATCTCATTTGTTTGTATTTGAACACGACAATTAATCTTAGCTCACCTTCATTCTTCTTATTGGGACTACATCTCTAGAGTTTATATTTTGTCTTACTTTTATTTTTTCTAAAACCCATGTTCCGAAAAATATTTATCCATAGTTTTAGGATTTGGTTGATCCCTTCATTAGTTTTGTAAATTTACATATTACCATCTGTATATATAACATACACCATGAACTCTCATTTTGTATACTCCATCGGTCCCAACTTATGTGGCACCATTTGACTTTGCACAAAGCCACAAAGTTTAAGAAATAAAGGATTACTTTTAAAATTTGTGGTCTAAAAAAACCTTTGACATTTGAGTAGACTATGTATCATTTCAATAAGGGTAAAAAATAAAATTTTAAGTTAAATTCTTTCTTGTTATAGAAACATGCCATTTTTGGGATGGGTCATGCCAACAAAGGGAGTATTATTGGCAAGTTCATCCATAACTAGGTTAAATAAGTATCCGCTCATAGCAAGTTCGTAGTGTAAATTCATGTTTATAGCAAGACTATTTGATCTCTTCCCGTTGTTTTACACTTGTGATTGCTCCCTCATACATATATTTTATGTTATTATATGTTTGGTATGATTTTGTTATGACCGAATGAATGATGGGATGGGGAATCTTTAGGAAGAAACAGTTGTTATGATTGAGTATGTTGTCATCTAATGACCAATAACATGTTTTTATTACTCAGTTTGAAGTTTGGAGATTGACATTTTAGGAATAGGCAGTAAAATGTTTTATGTGCAAATGTATTATCCAAATTTCCAAAATGTATGGGAAGTGAATGTAAGTTTTGTCACAGTTACCAAGTATAAGTTGTAAGTTGTTGCTTTTCTATTTAAGAATAAAATAAGATATTGCCTTCCTGTATAGGCTGTATACAATCTAAAAGTGTAATGCTCATCCGATGCTGAAGCAAAATATCTTCTAGCCTACTAATTCATGGGAGAAGATTGTATTTTCAAGGGCTTCAAAATGGTATGTCTTTCAATGGTGAGTTTAGGAGTGAGGACTTGGGAGTGCCAAAATTGATAGTGTTGTATGATAAAATCACAGAAGTTCTTACGGACTCTGCCACTGCCTGAAAGGACTATGTCCAGGGACCGGATGCCAAGACTTCACCCATCCTTTAAACTGTTGCAGAGGAGATCACCTCTGTTTCGATCCTCATCCATTTTTCCCTTCAGAGGGTGAGTATTTGTTATTTTAGGATTCGTGCTTTTGGTGAGAGTACCCAGTTCTGAGTGAATGAAAACAGAAAGAAGGAAATGAGGCGATTTTTTTTTGCCTTACGCCCTTGATCAATTAGTGGGACATCTAGAACTACATTTTAGATTGGTGGGAAACAGCCTTCAGGTTGAACGTGGATTAGTATTTCAGAAGTGAACTTTGCACAAGTCAATAATCTTATGTTTCTTTCATGTTGAACGATCAGGAATTTCAGATTATATCGAACATTATCACTCATCCGTAACTAGGGCAAAACATGTACAGTTTCAATGCTTTGATCCCTGGTGTAAATCCACCATTATGGGTAATTCCTTTGTATTTCCTATGGCTGTTCTTACACTAGTGACAGCTACTTTATACATATCTGTTATTACATTCACATATTTAATATGGGTTCTTGTCTTCTTCAA